CACCTAAGATGCTTTATGCTTGGAAGTTAAAAGGAACAATCAAAGGAAGACTGGTGCTGACCGTTAAACAAAGAGAATGTTGAAAAGAAAGGAAAGAGAATCAAAAGTTTTGATTTTTTTAAGCAGAAGCAGTGTGGCTATAAAAGATTCTGGACAGCGTTTTGGTTACTCTGTAGTTTATGTCCAGTTATCAAATTATTAGAAGGTCTGAGAAAAGAACACTGTCTATAAGAAATAAGAAAAAGTCTCCAGTAGTCTATGGAAGCTGTTTGTATTGACTGGTGACTTTGGATTTCAAGGAAAATATACAGTTCTAAGTGCCTGGGAACAACATATTATCAAAGTTTGCATGAAGGTTTGTCTGTCTCTGAGTGCCAATGGGTATGATGAGAAAAAAAATTGAGTTTAAATCATAAAAATTAATTAGATTACTCTGATTTGTAATAAATTATTAATTTCTGATTTATAAACTTGGTGGTATCTTATTTATAAAGTATGGTTAGAACCATTTGATCAATTCGGAGGGTCATTGAATATTTTAATTTCACTGTGTTGTGATATCTAGTGTTAGTGAATCTGATTTGATCTGGCTTGATCTTCTTCTGTTGTAAGATCACACTCTTCATATAATCTTCATATAACATCAATTCCTAATGAAAGTTCTATCAACCTCTGCTTTAAACATATTCAAAGGCCAGGCTTCCACGGCCTAATGGGTGGAGAAATCCAAAGATTCACCACCCTCTGAGTAAAAGGAATTCTCTTCATCTTGACTCTAAGTGGCATTCTTGCTTGTCCAGGTCTTGCTTTAGTTGGACACAGACTGCTTTAGTATCTGAGAAATTGCAAATGATGCGGAACGTTGTTTAATTATCAGCGAACATTTCCACTTCTGACATTGTGATGGAGTGAAGTCCATTGACGAATCAGATAAAAATGTGGTGTCAGGATACTGCTCTCAGGAATTCCTACAGGTATGTCCTTGGACTGAGATAACAGACCTCAGTCACAACCATCTTCTTTTTTGCCAGTATAACCTCAATCTCTCGATTCCCATTGACTCCAGTTTTTGCTAGGGCTCCTTGATGCCTTCTCTGGTCAAATACTGCCTTGATACCTAGGGCAATCATCTCACCTCCCCCTCCGGAGTTCTGCTGTTTGGCCTATGTTTAGATTAAGTTGTAATGGGGTCAGCTGGTAGTGGCCTTCTTTGAAACCTAACTGAGCATCTCAGATCAGGTTGTTTCTTTTCAAGATCCTCTTCGTAGGCTTGTCAACGATTTTTTCCATCACATTGCTGGCAGTAGATTGATAGGCTGGTAATTGGCTGGATTGCATTTGTTCTGCTTTTTGACCAGAGGAACTTGCATGGTGATATTCTGAAGCTGAGATGATTGGTCTCCAATAACCACAGCCATCACAATTATATTATTTGATGTTAGGTCTGATACTGAACAGTGGAGAATATCCCCCACATTCCCAGTGATTCATGTGCTGGAGCTTCCTAATTCCATACTCAGCAAAATGTTTCCTTTACGTGAATGGCAGTCACTAGCACTTCATCTCTGAGCACAACTCTCTTGTCTTTGTTTGAGCCAAGACTATAGTGAGGTAAGAAGCTGAGTGGTCCTGACTGAACTCAAGCAGGTTCAGGGTGTAGGTTATTGCTATGTTAGTGCTGCTTGATAAAACTGTCAATGACTCCATCCATTACTTTGAAAATTGAGAGGAGACTGATGGAGCAAAAATTAGTTGGGTTGTATTTTTTAAATTTTCTGTGTATTGGACATACTGGCCTTTTTAGTTTGCAGGCAGTTGCTAGCATTGTAGAAGTACTGGAACAGCTTGGGCACAGCTAGAGCATAAGTCTTTCACACTACTGCCAGAATCTTGTCAGGGCATAGAACATTTTCAGTATGCTGTGCCTTCAACCATTTCTTGCTCGCAGGTGGAGTGAATCAAACTGGGTGAAAACTGGATCTGTGATGCTGGGGACCTAAGAGGAGGCTGAGGTGAATCATCCACTTGGCATTTCTGGCAAAAGTTGGCTGCAAATGCTTCAGCCTTCTGCTCAACCATGATTGAAATTCTTTTCTAATCCCACTCCTTCACTGGTCATTCAAAACAAATTTTAAATGTAACTAAATTGATGACACAGCCACTTACATTTGTCTCAGACTGTATCTGGTTTTGTGTTACAAACAATTCAGCCAGGTTTCTTCTGTCAACAAAGAGTAACTAGTGTATTACAAATGAAAGTTAAACATGCAAAGGTTGGGGACAAAAAATCCTTATATTCTAACATGCCCAATGTAGCACAAGGTAAAAATGGGCAACAAAAAAATATGGTCAAATACCCCACAGAACATTTCTAACAGCAAATATATTTAAGAGAAATCCCAAATATTTCTCAGCAGTCACCCCAAGAACTTAGGGACACTGAGTCACCATCCTAAAATTTTATAAGGGATTACAATTCCTGGCATTTAATGGCCTGATCTTGAAACTCCCTCAGAAAGCTGCTGTCATGGACTGTCTCAATGACTGCGCATGCTCCCTTTCTGGTTAAGCTTCCTTTCCTGGTTAAACGCTGCCTGAGTTCTTGGAAACTCAACTCTAGCATCTATCCACAGGCACAACTCCACATTTCTCAGCAATAGAAAGATTCATCAAGCCAGGGTTTGTTTCCTCAACACTCACCTAGTTCACTTGCATGAAGCAAATAATTGTGCGTGGGCTCCCTCACTCTTGCTGATAGCAGCACTAAAACTAATAGCAGTGCATGGCTTTTTATGAGTCTCCACAGATCCCAAGACATTTCTGGCATCCTGAGTTTCAAATTAGCTCTCTACTAAATCCTAGAATGTCTTCATGAGTTCTAACAGTGTGGAAACCATCCAATTGCTCTGGACTCCTCCGAGTTTCCACAACACCAGTGTTACCTTCTCAGCAGTCCAGCTCAACAGTTCTTTCTTGCATGGTGCTTGCTTCTGCCTTTCTCTACCATGATCTCCAACTAACTATGACCCAGAAAGTGGTTTGAAAGGCTAACTGAAAAGCTTACAAAAAGGCCCTGTTATTGTCACTATAAGTTATAACTAATATTTTAAAACAGTCAAATGTAGCAACAAAGCAACTCAAACATAAATATAACTTGGAACAGTCTGTCTTCTAAATGTTCAAAGTGCTAGCTCAACAACACAAGCATTGCAGACAAACAAAACAGATGATCACACTTGTTTCTTTGACCGTGGTATGCTCCTCCATCATTGAGGGTGGGGATTTTTGTAGAACCCTTTTCCTTCCACTGGTCATTGTGTAACTGTTTGTCACCATTCACGACTGGATGTAGAAAGACTGCAGAGTTTAAATCTGTTTCAGAGATAGTAGGAACTACAGATGCTGTAGAATCTGAGATAACAAGGTGCAGAGCTGGATGAACACAGCAGGCCAAGCAGCATCAGAGGAGCAGGAAAGCTGATGTTTCAAGCCTAGACCCTTCTTCAGAAATGGGGGAGGGGAAGGGGGTTCTGAAATAAATAGGGAGAGAGGGGGAGGTGGATAGAAGATGGATAGAG